GTTTAGAAAATAATTATGACAACATATGTACAAATATGCTTGATAGAATTGATGTACGGATTGTTATAAGAGCCCCCAATAAAATGATCTTTAAAATACATAAATGCTATACTTTTTGTGACATGTCAGCATTAGTTCTGGGGGAATTTCAAAAAGTTCATTGAAAGATAACATTTTTTAAAATTCCAGGTTTTTTTAAGTACTTCTTGAAGGCCCTCGTATTTGTCTTAGTTATCTAGTCACTGCTATAACAAATAGACCGCAAGTGCATGGCTTTCACAAACCAGTTTTCTCTGTTCTCTGTTGCTAGGTGTCACCACGTTGGTTGGGACCCTTAGTGACCCTGTCTAAAACAGAGTGAGGTGCCTAGCCCTGCACTGACCTCACAACTGTTAGGTTTGAGCTCACTGTTGCAGTTACTGTGCGAACCCATCTCTTTTTCTCTGGCCCTCAACTCTGCCAAGCATGATAGCTATCTCTAGGGAGTCGTCTGACTTGATAACATGTCCAAAGCAAGTCTCACCCTCCTCACTTCTAAGGAGGCTACAAATCTGAATTCAGGGTGCCAACTCAACGGGAAAACTTTCTTTCTCTGTCGATTCTGGGGATGTCCTTGATGTCAATTTTCCCCTGGGTTTAGAAGTTTCTGGGCACAGGGGCACGGGGCGTAAAGGCACTATCAGTCCTTACTCTGACTCGTCTTTCTTGGTAGTTGTAGGTCTCTCCCCTTTGTTTGCCTTTCTGCCCTTTATGTCTTGTGAAATAAAACACGTTACAGACACTCCAGGGAAAATCTCTGTACATCTGACCATACCTGTGGACTGATTAAGGGTGTTTTAACCCACCCTAATCCTCTTAGAATGGATTGGCCAATCACATCAGATGACATCAAGGAGGATGATTACACCATTACTTAACTGTCCGATCACAGAATCGTGGCCAACTTGACACATGTGTTTGGTAATATGATTTAATAGATGACAGTATCTTGTATTGCAAAAATATACTTAATCCTATCTGAAAAACTTTAGAAATTTAAAACAGTTAATGTTTTGACCAGGACTTGAAAGCAACAATTTAATAGTGAAATAATAGTACCTACTTTTTTTTTTCCGTTTATAATTTATTGTATTTTTCTTTTGGTTTTAGTTCCATGCATTGCTGCCTTAATAAGCAAGTTCTAGTTTGTAATGTTAAAGGTAGAAAATAATAGAGTTGCCTTTTTGTTTGGTATCGACTGATTCTTTTGTGTGAATGACTGACATAATTTGAATGTAATCTTATGTGAATAGGAGTTGATTCTATCAAATCGTTTTCCATTTTAATGGAGTAACATATACAATAGACGTGAAAGAAAATGAAAAGGAATCAATGAAATTACCATTATTTACAGATGAGATGCTTACTTAGAAAACCAGTTTAAAATGTAAGGAGCCCTGGTGGTGTTGTGGGTAAAGCATTAGGCTGGTAACATAACAGCCTGAAAACCTGTGACTCGGAGTAACCCGAGGGTTTCGGAGATGGAGCGTTTTCAGGAGCAGACAGCTGTGTCTTTCTCCCTGTCTCGGGTCGGGATGAGTCAGAAAGAATCCTTGGTGGCACATGGGTTACACATTGGGCTGCTAACCACGAGGTCAGTCAGCAGTTAGAACTCACCAGTCACTCAAAGGGAGAAAGATGAGACTTTCTGCTTCTGTAAAGATTTGCAGAAACACACAGAGCAGTTCTGCTCCCTGCCTTGGGGGTCACTGTGAGTCTGAATCAACTCAAGGACAGTGGGTTTGGATTGATGGTACTATTTGTGAGGATGCTTATTGTTGGGGATTTTGCTGCTCCTTTAAAATGCCGGCTTCTTGTTCGGTGCCGCCGAGTTGACTTTCACCTCATACTGAGCCCTGGTGACCGTGGGGCTCTCCCAGCGGGTTCCTAGGCTGTAACGTTTACAGGGGCAGATCGCCAGTCTTTGCACCTCGGTGTTGCAGCCAGGACTGTGCTGTTTTCCCCGCAGAGCTCTGGAAGTCACAAATGAGGTTTGTCAGAAGAGGTTGCTTTTATTTACTGATCTCATTAACATGAAACAAACCAGTATTCAAAGTATGCGAATTCTCTTAGACTTAGAAAAGTATATCTCCTTATAAAAAATGTATGAAAAGAAATAAATGGCATTTCTAGTGCAAACATGGTACCTGAATGGCATTGAAAACTAAAGAAAAACATACAAGGGGGTGTACAAAGGTTGTGGGAAGTTTTCATATTTTAATTCTAGTTTTGAAGTCCTCCCACCCCCAGTGTGTGTGTGTGTGTGTGTGTGTGTGTGTGTGTGTGTGAGAGAGAGAGAGAGAGAGAGAGATATCTCACTGCCATAGTAACCCTATATGTATAGGATTTCCTGAGAATGAATCCTTATGGAAGTAGACAGAGTCCTGGTGGATTTGTACTGCCAACCTAATGGTTAGCAACCCAGGGCCTACCCCACAGAGCTCCATAGAGAACGTAGATGATAGCTACCTCAATAACAAGTTAGAAAATGTACTTACAATGATTCCATTCATAAGAGCAAAAGAATCAATTTTCTTTTTTAAAAATTCGATTTTATAAAGAAATACTATAAAATGCCACTGAAGGTGATAAAAGACAACTGACTACTTTTTTAGGATATGAAGATACAATACTGTATCATGAAGGTATTTATTATTAATATAGGGGGAATTGTTTTAAATGCTGACCTGCAATTTTAGTGACTTCAAAAGGAGCAAAATTCCAAAGTCCAGTATCTCCAGTCTCCAGTGGTGAGATCGCTGATAAACTCTCAAGTTAAGCTAAGATCCTGAAGGAAAAGGGCAAATGTGTGTTACATATAGCCTTCGGGAATGTCACTCTGGCCTTGGGTCTTCTCAGTGGTCCAATCTGGATTACCAGTTGGTCAGACCTGGATTGAGATATGTGGACTGGTAATGCCCTCAGCTCCCTGGAGCAAACCCAACCTTCCCTTGGTGATGTTATCCTAGCTTTCAAGTTAGTCATGATATTCATTTTATTTACACTGCTCTGCTCACAAAAATCGCTATAAATAAATGCATCTATTTACATACATGACATCAGAAGCAATAAGCAAAATAAAAAAAACAAACCTAAAAGTCTTACAGTATCAGAATAATAAAGCAGAGAGAAAACTGCTTACAAAATAGAAAAACGGTAAAGATAATAAATAATGAGGAATTTCAAAATACCAAAAAGTCTCATTAAAAAATAGAAATTTGAGAATCCAAAAAACCTATCTGGCTAACATTAAAGTTTAATAAGAATCTAGACAAAGCTAAAGTGAAAATGAATTGAAAGATATAGCTCGAAAATTGCTGTTAACCTGAAAACAGTGGGTGACCACATTAGATCACAAAATGGACAAAGACTGCATCATTATAGAACTGCTAAATTGACAACATTACGTAACTGTGAAACCACTGAGCATCATAGCCCAGACAAATCGACACATAGCCTTTACCAGCACAGCCAGTGGCTTTCTTACCTCTCATCTCACCATTACTATCAGATGTATGTCAGTAATGTGCAAAATAGGTTTTCACTGTAATCCACTTTCCAATGCACATTGAGAGCAAGACTTCACTTCCCTGACCAATGGTTGGAAGGATTTCAGTGGAGGCAAAATCCTAGTGAGCACTCTGCCAATGAATTTTGGGCTTTCACTGTCATCCATAGCCTGCAAACCAGCTGCTCAGAAATTAAGTCCAATAAAATTGTCTCCCCTGATACTGAATTTTACTGTTTACAATCTGGGGATCACACAGTCGGGTGTACTCCTTCCGTGTGAATTTAGCTGATAACCTCACTTAGATAGCTGCTTGTTTAAGACGAGCCTTTAAGACCCCAGATGTTATTCCTTCTGGTAACTGGGTACCCATAAGATTGCTTCAGTGCACTTTGCTGTAGCACCCATATCTTCAGCGGTCTCTTCATAAGGGCAGGGATTGAGCAGGGTCACATTGTAAGAACTTAGCTTATGGTTTGTCATTAAGTGCAAGCTCAAAGTCCATTCATATATCTTAAGTTTATCTATCTATATATCTCCCTGGTCCACTTCAGAGGCAGAATTATCAGCTTATTGAGAAATAATTAGAGTAACTTCCAGGAGACATTTGATAATTTTGTGCCTCCTTTTATTAATATTCTATCCTTCCTGCTCTTAGAATGTTTAAATATCCTAATATTTTCTTTCTTTATAATTTTGAATTTAGACATAACAGAAAGACTAGAAGAGTTTGAGGGGGGAAACTTAGGAATTAAAATAAGGATGGCATTACTTTTTATAGCTTTCAGCTCTTAATTTTTTAAAAAACTATTCAAATCTTAGAATCTTAATTTCTCCTTTAATTAAAAAATAAATGAGTCCTTTCTACTCTTTTTGATTAAATAAACAAATGTATTATTGTTTTTTGTTTTGTTTTTTTAATGTCCTGGGAAATTGTGAGTTTCATGAGGAGAGAATTTGCTTTCTGGCTGTTCGTTTTAAGGAAAGAGGTGGTTTGTTTTTGTGTTTTCATTTAGTTGAGACGGGAGGTTGGCAACTGGAGGAAAAAATGTGCTATGTTTGTTTTGCCATAACTTCTGAGAAGTTTAGAGATAAATATAGGGTTTGCTACATTAATTAGCTCATCCATGTATACTTGATTGCTTTATAGCTTCAACTTGTAATTATTTTTAGATCGTGAATTGTTCTTTCTCCCCTGAGTTTTGAAATAGGGGTAAAATTATGAATAAATATTTGTGTTTATAAATATATATTCACATGCATATAACCATATCATGTAAACATGTCATTTAAAATTTCTTTTAGCCAACAAATGGAATCTTCTTGAGCATGTTTCTCATTGTTTTGCCATTGGAATCCATGGCACACGGGCTCTTCCATGAACTGGGTAACTGTTTAGGAGGAACATCTGTTGGATATGCTATTGTGATTCCCACCAACTTCTGCAGGTAGAGTAACCTAGTCAAGTAACTGCATGACTCCACATTTTCGTAGTGTTTCCTGAATATGACTAGAACATGCTAGTGCATTGTTTTTCAAAATGATAATGGGTTATATTTCTTCATTCTAGATTTTAGAAAACTTTTATCTACTCTATATAATGTAATATTTAGAATTGAAGTTAAGTATTTGTATATCATATATAAGAATTTAACAAACAAGTATTTAACTTTTGATGTAGGAGCTCTGGTGGCGTTGTGTTACATGGTGGACTATAGTCCCCAAGACCATCAGTTTGGTGGCACCAACCACTCTGCAGGAGAAGATGGGGCTACTCCCATTATGCGTTACAGTCTCAGGAACCCGCAGGGGTAGCTCCTCAATGTCCTGTGGGGTCACTGTGAATCAGCATTAACTAGATGGCAGTGAGTTAGAACTTCCAATTTATCTAGAAATCTGAAAATTCAAATGCATTTTTAAAGGTAAGATCCTAACCTAAAAGGGATATCTTGTTTTTTTAAATGCCATGGAAATATAAATAGCATGTACACTGGACTATAGAGTCTGAAATTCTTGCTCTAACGTGGGCAACCTTGGTATCTGTACCCAAAATGCAGATAATGCTGTTCTGCTCATCTCACTGTAGGGATTTTAGAAAAACAAGAGTCTCCCAATTAGCTAGACCAGCGCCTATGATTCCTAAATAATTATAAATTATGATTAATAAAGTGACAAGAGAACGAACACTTGTTAAACATCAAAATAATCTTTCTTTCTCCTGTTTCAGTCCTGATGGCCAGCCAACACTTCTTCCACCAGAACATGTTCAGGAGTTAAATCTCAGGTCGACTGGCATGCTCAATGCTATCCAAAGATTTTTTGCTTATCATATGATTGAGACCTATGGATGTGACTATTCCACAAGTGGACTATCTTTTGACACTCTGCATTCCAAGCTGAAATCTTTCCTTGAACTTCGGACTGTGGATGGACCTAGACATGATACATACATTTTGTATTACAGTGGGCACACCCATGGCACAGGAGAGTGGGCTTTAGCAGGTAAAGTCACGTTTGGCAATTTCACTATTGTGATGCTGTGCTTGTTCATAGACACCTGGTCCTCAGACAAAGAGAGTAAATTCCAGGACTCTCAGTTTTTCTTGCTCGATAGTTTTCCAAATATACATGTTATGGCTCAAATTTGTTTTTCTTCTCTCTAGGGTACCTCTTTTTCATCATTTTAATAATCTCTAAAAGTAAAATTTTGAGAACTGTATCTGGTAGTGATGGGAAGAAAAGACATTGGTTTGACTTGAGACTTCAAATCAGTGTCCCTTTAAGGAATTTTCACAATTATTGAATATGGATATAATTTTCAGAAGCTGATAAAGCTGCTCAGTAGCAACTAACAGCATTGATCCAAGACTTTAAATATTATGGATGCATGTTTTTAGTAGTTCTTTACTCATGAAGTTTTATTTGTGTTAGAAATCTCATCAGAAATGTACCCAGCCTGCTATCTTACCTGGTGGTAGCAGTGTGAGATCAGGAGACCTTGGTTCTGGTCTTCATTTGCCACAACTGTGGTACTTTGGGCAAGTTACTTACGGTAATTTCTGTAGGTTTCAGTGCTCTCATCTATGAAAAGATGAGTTAAATAAACATTGAAACCCATTCTGAAGCATTTTTTATGCTGCTCAGTAGGTTAAAAAGCATAAAATAGATTGGGTGTACATGAATTGTGGGAGCCATGGAAACACTTTGCAAGGCTTATTATTACTAAGGGAACAATGAGAAGACCTTTTCAATTTGCCACCGTTTCCAGCTTGACTGGAGACCCCTCAAGGCAAGAATTCTGTTTGTATATTGCTATATGCTTAGCCTCGAGATTGTCACTTAGGGGATTCATAAATAATTTAGAGATAAAATCATTGAATGAATCCTCACACAGAAAAGGTAACCTCCTCATTTTAGATGAAGAGTTCTCATGTTATTATATCCTGTTTTTCTCCCCTTAAAGGATTATAGGTATTTCAAGCAAATAACACATCAATAAGAATATCCACGTCCATGCAAAAGAAGGAAGGAAACAAACTCAGGGCTAACATAGAAATTACTTTAAACCAGCGCAGTCTCACTAATATACAAGATTTGTAACTCAGGTTTTTATCATGTAGACATTTGGGGAGATTTTTTTGTAAGACTAACATTTACTGGGCACTTTGTAACCATCAGCTACTATGCAGATTAGATGCATTATTAGATTTCATCCTGAAACCCTTTGGAATAGATGCTGTCACCTCATATCCTCATTTTTCAATGGATAAAATGGCAGTCAAAAATAGTTTTTATGAATTACCTATAGTGACACCATTGATAGTGATGAATTAATGAGTTTTGCTCAGCTTTCCTGACTCTTAGTGTATTTTCTTTACACTAACCATGCTGTTGTTGAATGAAAGCTGTGATGGTACAGAAATGGCACTTTCTAATTAGCCAGAACGTTTGGTTAGACAGCGTACCAACTTTTATAAACTATAGGAAACTATTTATAACTTTTTAATAATGTAGGAAACATTTCTTTAAGCTTTATGATTCCTTCACTCTAGATAGAGTATAGAACATTCTGTGTTCTTCAGAGCAAGAAAGAAAATAGCGGTATTCCCACACCCACAGGCGTACTTTCTGGTCTTGCTGGTGCGTGGCTTATCCTGGGCGCTACGTGAAGTTCTCCAGTTTCCCCAGGGAGAGTCCCAATTTTAAAAACTGCGTATCTCCTGAATGAGTCCCAGGATTGGAGAAAGCAAGAGAATTTGAGCTTGAAAAGCCCGTCTTCATCACCACACCCAAAGGTGTAAAGCAATTCAGATTTGCCTCGGTTCCGCTCTTGAGGCTTGCTGACGTTATTGTCAATGAGGGAGAATTTCATCATTGCTGTTGTGGCTGGGTTTTTGCAAGTAGCTCAATTTCTAGGCCTCCTTAATTATGGATCGCAATTCCATCTTGGCACACTTTAGACCCACACAGCACACACGAAGAATTGCCTGAGCCTAATAAATTCTTTTCAGCCCCCCACCCCCAGCCCACACACGTGGTACAACCTCCTCATTTTCCAGGGGTCCTTCCCTTATTCTATGCATGTCTTAGCAACCGCTCGGCCCTGTCAGCCTTCTCGTCTCCCCTGTGTGAGCCACATCCAGTTTGGGGAGAGGAGAGGGACCTGCTCTGACACCTCAGACCCCTTTGCTCCCCCTGATATTCTGTCACCTAACATTTGTCATTTGTCAGCCCCAGACCTATCCTCTCTCTCTGCTCCTGCTCACAGGTTCACGGGTGACTGGAGCTCAGGGGTGGGGAAGGGGGCCTGCAACCACAGAACTGGAGGCTCAACCACTGATACTTTCTGCATCTGCACCCTGCCCAGAATAGAATGGTCTAGGGGGAGGCAGCCAGCCAGCCCTCTCCCCCTGGTCATCCAGAATTCGCCTGGACATGCAGGTCCTTCTCCCAGAGTGACAGCCCTCTTCCAAAAGTGTCACCTGGACATCCCCACTAAAACCAGACCCACTGC